GGTTGTAGCACGAATGGGTTAGTTCGATCGGGGAGGTACAACGCTCTCACTGAATACCAGCGCAAAATAGTTGCTTAACGCTGCTGTGTTTCGTATGGTCTGTCTGTGGTCATACCTTTATTTAAATCTGATAGTATATTAGAACCCGCCAATTTTAGACTGATTTCTGTACTACTAACATTAAGTAAAATAAAAAATAGATCGGATTGTTAGGTTTTTTTTTTAAATATAAATAAATGGATTAATAAAAATTGAAATTGAGCGTATCAAACATATTTTTGTGCATGGGAGAATTCAGAACATACTTTGGGTATATTTTGTGACCTTCTCAAGGCCTTCAACCATGTTCACTATGAGCTATTTATTAGGAAGCTACAGTAATATAGTGTCAATAATACAGCGCTTTAAGTTATTGTTTTATATTTAAGCAGTAGAATGCAGAAAGTTATTATTATTATCAATGGTAAAAGTTCTTCCGGGTCACTTGTACCTTTCTTTTATGCGTATCCCTCAAGGCTCAATTATCGGCCTATTCACTCACCTTCCGTTGTAGGGGATAATCATGATATAGTATTATTTTCTAAAGATACTTCCTTGATTATTAAACTCTATCGTCAATCATTTAAATATGACGAAGTGAATAATACTAGATCAAAATTAGTGCATTGGTTAAACGTTGATAAATTTAAACAGCATTAAAACTAAATGTATTAAATTTACAACACTGAATGTTTAAAATATTCTTACCATTGTGTTCTTAAGTGCGGAAGAATCGAATCCAGTGTTTTTATTGTCATTACTCTCGACTCAAAGCTTCAGTGGGACCCAGACATATCCAAACTAGCAGAGATTATGCTGTAAAAAAGATTAGAGTTCTCACCAGTATCAAGACAGCTGGATTAGTTTAAATCAGTTATTTCCATAGCATAATGTCTTATGATATTTTACTATGGGGAAATACGGCTTATTTAGAAACTATTTTTATTTGCAGAGGAGGGCCACAAAAGCTATTTACAACCCAAAACCGGGAGAGTCTCTTAGAGAAAAATTTAAAGAATTGGCCTTTTGGCTCAACCAGGGAAGGACCACGCTCTCACAGAATACCAGCGTCAAATAGCATCTTAATGCTGCTGTGTTTCGTATGGTGAGTATAGAGAACCGGAGACATTTTTAATGGAAACGAGGCATCCCATTTTAGTTCTCAGGGGTGACAAAGCTTTTGTATTTTGTAGTCCATAAACTCTGCATACAGTCCATAAACGCATACAGCTAATTGTAAACAAAAAAGGAAAGACATATTCCAACGTGTGCTCGTTTGTTACCCTTATTCCATAAAAAATGTATTCGCTATTGCAAACAGAGAGACATTTAAAATAAAAACAATCATATTAGGTTTCTTGCTCTTTTTCTTAGGGTCGAAGTATTTTCCGAACCAGTGATAAATATAGAAATCATAAGCCTTATGTAACAATTTATGCTGAATAAAAAATCAGTTCATTTTATGGACGCGCCGCATCGTGGCACTGACCTGCTTTTATTTTTAAAAGGATGATTAAGCACAAACAAAGTTCGCGTAACCCGTAAATATACTTTATTCTGCAGACATGAGGGTTCCCCTAGCATTGTTATTCGCTTTCACTTCCTACTTAAGTACTAAAAACGAAAATTAATAAGCGCAATTATATTAGTATTATAGTTGTAGCACGAATGGGTCAGCTCGACCCGGGAAGGACCACGCTCTCACAGAATACTAGCGTAAAATACTAGTTTAATGCTGCTGTGTTTCGTATGGTGAGTGTAGAGAACCGGAGACCCATTTTACTAGAAACGAGACATTCCATCTTAGTACCAACGGGTGACAACGCATTTGCATTTTGATTCGTAATCGAGGATAGATATAGATGTCTATGAACCACAGCAACCACTTACCATCAGGTGGACTGTGTGTTCGTTTGTCAACTTATCCTATAAAAAAAACGTAACATAAGTACACCTGACGATTAGTGGTAGGCAGAGGCTATATATGCTTCAATTTGACACGATTCTGACACATCTATCTCGATTATTCCATACTCATATATCTCCTTACACATACATGCTCGTCAATCTTGCGTCATTTGATCACTCTGTCAACTATACCACACACTTACCGTCAGGTGGACTGTGTGCACTCTGCACGTTTGTCACCCTTAAAACATAAAAAAATAACTTAATGGCAAGCTTATACCCCCTTCAGCTCAATAAAAGGCAATTATTTCGGTATTACAAATATATACTTCGATTGCATTTATATGTTATTAGTAATAACATATATTATTACTTATTATACTCAGCACGCGGTTAACAATTCCGTCCTCTTTCGGTTAGCTAGTCAGTCTCTTCCGTATGCTGTCACAACCACCAGTAGCAATCAGTTATGTTTACAGGTAGGAAATACATTAGTAAAGGCGGGTTAGCATTCGCAGTTTTGAATTATTATTGAAGAGTTTGTAGCATATGTTTTCTTAGTCACTTATTCATTGTTTATTCCTTTTACATGTCCAAACCTCTGAAGCATTTTTCTTAATCATGGTCACAACATCGTCTTGCAAGCTTTCACTAACACTTTCTCCATAGCCCACAATTTCTCACTCTATCATTCAAATTCACTCCTTACATATTCCTTGTGACCGCGTCACTGTTATTAATTGCATTGAAACGCTGCATGAAACTAATTTTACCGATTTTGTCGCGTTTAACTTGACTTATTTTGAATTCCCGACGTTCTGTGTATTACGAACCAAAAATTAATATCCAAAATCTGAAGGCATCAAGGGTTGACTATGACATCTGGACGCCAAGCACCTCAGTCCCCAGTCCCAGTCCCCAGTATTGTAAAGCACCCGAAACGTTGAGATTTAAAAAAAAAACTCAAAGAAAACGCGAAAAGTTCCTAAAAATAATTTTATTAACTTCCCAGTGGGAAGTTATTGTAATTTTGCAAATTCGAAATTTTAACGTATCTCCACGTTCCAAGGTCTTTAGAGTCGAATAGTGCTTTTTAAGAGGATGTCCGTGTGTGCACATGTACAGAATTACAGACAGTTTCTTTAATTGTATCTATATGTATAGATATTAAAACTGCGGTTTTTTAATAGTATAAGGGTGGCAAACGAGCACACAATTCACCTTTTTTTTATAGAAGAGGGGGCAAACGAGCATGCGGCTCATCTGATGTTAAGTGGCTACCGCCGCCCATGATCAATCGCAACACCAGAGAAATTGCAGGTACATTGCCGGCCCTTTAGAAAGGAGTAATCTCTTTTCTTGAAGGTCCCCAGGTCGTATCGGTCCGGAAAAATCGCCGGTGGTAAACTATTCCACAGAGAGGTCGTACGCGGAAGAAAACTCCTTTAGAAACGTACAGTGGTGGACCGCCAAGCATCCAGATGGTGTGGATGGTATCGGGACGTTTGCCGCGTAGTGCGTTCACGAAATTTGGCGGCTGGGATTAATCCGAACAATTCCTCAGAGCACTCCCCATGATATATGCGAAAGAAAATGCAAAGAGATGCAACATCTTTTCGCAGCGCCAGTGAATCGAGCCGCTCTGCGCTGGATGCGGTAAAGTGGAAGGAGCTGGTACTGGGGAGCCCCAGCTCAGAGATGGGAACAGTATTCCATGTGAGGACGAACCTGCGCCTTGTAAAGTTGCAGTTGTTTTACTGACATGAAATACTGTCCCGCTATACTGAGCAGGCCAAGAGGCCAATTTGGCCTTCTCTTCTGAGTGACCACGAAACTGTACGTCACCCGATATATCGACGCCGATTCCGATACTGGCTGAGGCAACAAGGGGAGTGCCTTGTAACTGAGGAAATACGACAAAGGGGTTCTTTTTTGCGGTTAACGCGCAAACTTGTGTCTTCGGTGGGTTAAACATAAACACAAACATAAACCCACCTGATCATAAACACCTATCTCCATTGTCGATAACGAATCAAAATGCAGATGCATTGTCACCCGCGAGGACTAAGATGGAATGCCTCGTTTCCAGTAAAAATGATCTCCCGTTCCCCACACTCACCAAACGAAATACAGCAGCGTTAAGATGCTATTCAACGCTGGTATCCTGTGAGAGCGTGATCCTCCTCGGTCGAGCCGACCCGTTTGTGTTACAACTATACCAGTAATACAGTTGCAGCATGGCTCTACCACACATAAAATTTGCTCGTCAGTCTTTTGTTGTCTTTGGTTGCCACCACACCTGCGAAGCGGTACAGTAATGGCAAGTATCCCCTTTATATGGCGACCAATAGGGATACCCGCTCAGCAGTAGACTTTTAAATAGACATACTAAAATGAATGAATAATCCAGCTATATTACACAAGCAGGCCATAGGAAATAGTGTCAAGGGTGCCAGAATTCTGGCAACCTTGACGCTATTCCAACTGCCAAGCTTAGCGATCATAACGATATCTCAATACAAAAAGAGAAGCTCACTTCCGGCAGTGAAATTTTCGAGGATGATACGAATAGGGTGTCAGTTATCACGTAGGGAAATTTGTCGATTTTTAGAAAATATATTAACTAGTCACATATAACTCGATTAAAAATCCAACCAAAAGCCAACTAAAACCGAAAAAAGTCCCAAAATTGATTTGTAAACACGTCATGTGAAACTAAGACATATTTTAAAGCTAGTATTATTCCGACAAGTTTTCGAGTGTTAATCTCTTCTTTGAAACTACTTTGTAATGGTAAAACTTAATTCAAAGTCTTGTAATGAATTTAAATAAGTATAAAGGCATTATTCCAATTTTATTTCTTTAATAGATTGTTATTTTTAAAGCCTCAATAAAACAGAACACGCGAGTCTGCTGATAAACTTGGCGCTATTGCTCATTTAATCCAATTTAATTCGTTTCGCTGCACTAGATCTCATCTTGGACACTTAAACAGGGAACGCAAAAACGTTTAAAGCCGGAGTAATCATTATTAGCTAGATTGTAACAATGTAATGGCTGGGAGGACTGTGAGGAAAGTGAAACGAGGCAGAGCTAAGGAATCTGGTAACAACGTTAAGCAGCTTCCAGAAATAATAGTGACCCCACCTGACAGCGTCGGAGATATGAAGGTCAAAGTACCTGAGAGGTCTTGTGAAGTGAAGAACGATAATAACATATTATTAGATCTACAAAATGAAAACGATAACATAACGCAGGTAAATGTAAATACAATGACAAATTTCAGCGTGAAGAAATTAATAGAAGAATTATCAGAAAACTCTCGAGCACCTAAAGATGAAATAGCAAACATACAAAGGAGGCTGCTTCAGCAGGCAAACGAAATAATGAAAGTCAACACATTTGCCAACTCTCAGTCCGGTATCGAGCCGAGAGTTATCGCAGCTACTCAGAAATACAGCACAGCCGTATACGGCCGGATACCAAATGTGCCTAGGAATGTTCTAATTAACGGTACGCCAAATTCAGTCGATCACCAGCAATCTTATCATGCAGATACGCAGCTAGTTCCAGAAAAGCTCCAAGAGACACGCGCAGATAATTTTACTGGAATTATGAATAGTGATCGAGAAAACATGCAAAGGGTCGGCGCGGCGGCGGACGCGGGAAGGATTTTTTTCTACGAAACGAGTTCTGCGGTGCGATCGGCTGCCAGTACGCGGGCCGCGACCACGAGAGGTGAATGTCTTTATGTCTTTGTCGATCTGTTCGTAACGCGGCGAATTACTTGAGTTTTCGTGTCAATAACGTTTTCGTTTGTACCGTATGTGACTGTAAATGTTTGTTGGTTAAAGTTTGCGGTGTCAGCTTTGACATCTCAATTCTCAGTTGTGAATTTATTGAATGCTCGTGCACTTGATTGTATTGTGTTCGTAACGGTTGTTTGATCAAGTTCATTATTCGAGTTGGACGGTCCGGTATGTGTCCTTGCTTATCTATATCTTCTTTATGTAGCTTTCTAAATTATTCATTATTGAACTATAAATTTTCAAGTTGTATCTCCTAAGTTACCAAAAAGCATTGACCATTAGGTCCATTTAGATTATACTCTAATTTATCGTTCAAGTGTTATCTCATGATTTATATCGCCGACACGATTAAAGCTCTAATTTATTGGAAGCGAAAGCCAAGCGACAAAACTCGCTCTTGTGCATATGTAGTATTAGATGTAAAATCGCAAAACACTTTTAGCATAGATGGCACTTGTTAGATATTATGCAAAACATCTTATATCCGAGTGCAATTAGGTAAAGATTTGCGACTCGCTAAGTAGTAAGAGATTTCAGACTAGTCAGGTTTTTAGTTTTACGTCATTATTATTAGATATTAAAAGGAAATTGACTCAATGTTTTAGTATATGATTTTCTGCGCTATAAAAGTTAACTTAAGAAGTAAAAATCACAGTTTAAAGTTTATCACATAACCTGTTTTTGATTGATCAAATTTATTCAAATGTCTTACTATTTAAATTGAATACCATTAAGTATAAAGTAAAAAGTGACAAACGGATGTACAGCCTACATGATGGTAAGTGGCCTGCAGTCCATGAATATCTGCAGCCAACTTCATACATAAAAAAGCTACACTGAGGTGTAACTATGAGGACTAAGAGGTAATACCTCACAGCCTATTATTATACTGGATTTCTATACCCTTCAGAACGCAACATAGCAGAAATGCGTAAGAGAGTGATGATGAAACTACCCAGACGGACTCCTGAGCTTTTGTTTTAAGCACTTCTTTTAAGGACCTACGACCTACGACTTAGGTCTCACGACCTAGTAAAACATTTTTTATATTTTTTTATAAGATAAAGGTGACAAACGAGCACACAGTCTACCTGATGTTAACTGGTTGCTGTGACCCATAGACATCTACATCTACCCTCGATTACGAATCAAAATGCAGATGCATTGTCACCTGTGAGGACTAAGATGGAATGCCCCGTTTCCTGTAAAAAGGGTATCCGGTTCTATACACTTACCATACGAAACACAGTAGCGTTAATGTGCTATTTTACGCCGGTATTCTGTCTGAATGTTATCCTTCCCCGGTCGAGCCGAGTCCGGACTCGAGTCCTGCTCTAACTATACCAGTAATATAGCTGCAACATGGCTCTACCACAAGTTATTATATTAACTTAGTTTTGTTACGTATTTTTGGGTGTTAGAGCTTGACTATATTCCCACTTGTGGGTAAGTGGTGACGAAGCCTTACAATATGTTCTTGCTTTGAAGGCATCAAGATTGTATTCGGATGGAACGATAGATGCTAAAAAACTATTTCACTTCTTTGCTTTACGCATTACAAAAGATGAAGCAAACCAGTAAGTAGTTATGCGTAAAAAGACCCTTCTTACAGGAAACGAATTATTCCATCTTAGTCCTCAGGGGTGATAACGCAACTGCAATTTAATTCTTAATCGAGGATAGATAAAGATGTTAATGGATCACAGCATCCATTTACTATCAAGTGGGCTGTTTGTCACCCTTATTAGAAAAAATCTCGACAGGAAAGATCCACCTCCAGTCTGATGACGGAAAAGGAAAAAACCCTAAGATCCTTCCAGAATCATATTGTATTTTTACTTAGAGCCATCTATTTTTTTAAAAGATCGGCGATTCCCCAGGCATGCTCGTTTGCTTTTATTAAAAAAAAACTTATTGTGTTTCAATCCTTGTTTATTATAATAGACGAAAAAAAAAAGAACTAAAATAAAAGTTTACAGTCAGTCAGTCATTACAGTCTTTATGTATGGTTTTAAAAAGCTTTAAGATGACTGTACCGTTACACCTCACAACAATACAGGCCAAAGTAACCGTGTCCATTGTATGTGAAATCTCGTCAAAGCTTACCGACAGATGTCACGCCAAGTCACGCTGATGATGCATATCACACGTGACCAATATGACCAATATATTGTTAGTTTCAGTTTTATATCTTCATTTTGTATAATGGATGACGTTTTTTACCGTCTGGAAAAAATAGGGTGTAACATGTGAACGGAGTAAAAGCCTATTGAATAAAAACGTTTGAAAAATATTTTTTGAACAATTACTTTGCCCCACAGAACACGGAATAAGAAATTTGCCCTTTGCCCTAAAGCCTGTGATCCCGCAAAGTGACAAGGTCAAAAATGCCTACTAAATTTATTTTTTTATTGCCGTTCGTAAAGTAGGGTGGATATGATTTAAATTTCGATAGATTTTAATTCGTTTATTTATTTAATTCTAAAATTTTGTTTTTATTTTTTGTAAAACAGCAGTGCCATAGGTTTTTACTCCGTTCACATGTTACATCCTATTTTTTTCCAGACGGTAAAAATCTTCATCCAGTATATTACATTATATGATATAACTTAAATTTGATGCTTTTAATAGCGCCTTACAACAGTTAAATTAGATTTTTAGCACAGAACACTTAATATTTTTGAATTATATAAATAAGATGTTTATTTGACTGTAATGATCTATGACGCTACACAACATTTCCGTCTAAGAAACGTATAATAGATAACTACTTTGCTCCCTCTCCTATATATATAAAACTATGTACATAAACAAATAGTTTATATATAATATGTACATTGTACCCTAATGTTCTAAGTTCCCCTTTTTAATCATTTTCCTGTAGTGTACTGGAAGATATTTCAACAAATTATGAAATAAGTAAAACCTTTAAGCGAACTCATAATTTATGATTTTTTCCGTGTCTTTGTGTTTATTTGTTTATTGCTATTGATGTCATAACCATGCTCAACTTCTCCACGTGTGTCCCCACACATCTTTCTTGTTTCTTTATTTATCAGCCCGTTAAATTTCACTACTGAACTCACATGCACATAAGTCAACTTGTTGGTTGCATATGATTTTAGATGCGTATGTGTGTGTACAATAAATTGAATACGGTTTTGGCTTGGTTTTGCATCACTTGAAGTGTAGACAGCGTTCCGTCTTTGTTTATTTGTTTGATTTTCATACTATTGTCCTAAGTATTTTTGTTTCAGTATTTCAGTATTTGAATTGACTATACGTGTTATACGTGATAGAACCCTTTTTTTTAAAACGTTACCTCCACACTAGGATTTTCTCCTGTATCGTGGTGGTATAGTTTACAAACACAAATTTCACAAGGACAAACATCCAGACCCGGAACAATTACTTGTACGTCGTACAAATACTTGTTCCGTGCGGGATTCGAACCCGCGATCCCGAAGTGCAGCCACTCATTGCTAAGCCACTACGCCACGGAGCCGCCCCGCAGCTATATTATGGTTGTAGCACGAATGAATCGACTCGACCGGGGAAGACCACGCTCTCACAGAGTACCATACTGCTGTGTTTCGTATGGTGAGTGTAGCGATTCGAAGACCCTCTTTTATTGGAAACGAGGCATTCCATCCTAGTCCTCAGGGATGACAACGCATCTGCGTTTTGATTCTTAATCGAGGATAAATGTAGATGTCTATGGGCCACAACATCCACTTAATATCAGGTGGACTGTGTGCTCGTTTGTCACCCTTATTCTATAAAAAGACTAGTGTTTCAAATACCAAAGTTACTGCAAAATAAAATATAAACAATCAAGGAGCCGTCGTAACTCAGGGGCTAAGTGTTTGTCGTAGACTTTATAGTAAGGTTGATGAGGAAGAGGATGCGGATGAGGAACTATTAAAAATACGTGGAAGAGAAAGAGGATGAAGATATGAGGAGGAGGATGAGGATGAGGAAGAGGATGCGGAAGAGGAATATAGAACCTGTGATTTGGAATTGAAATTTTAAATAAAAGAAAGGTTGTGAATGGGCCCTTTAATATTTAGAAAGAAAAAAAGACAATTTAATAGTCAAAATTCACAATAGGGAGGTTGAATTTAACGAAAATTAACTTTGAAGCCGTTTCTCCAAATAGACGGTTTCGTAATTCGTCATAAACTAATCCAGTGCCACTGAAAAGGCGCTCACTGGGGACTCTTGATGGAGGGGCTGAAAGATACTGGCGCACATCTCCGTAAAGTTCAAAATATTTGGAGTTCATTTTCCACCACAAAAGACTGTCTTCTTGAAGACCTATTCTCTTCTCTTTAATATAATTAATTATTAGTGACTTCAGGAAAAGAAATCTGTCGAAGGGTGCGATTGGACTTTCTTCATCGTCACTATTAGGAGCTGAAGCCAGCATCTCAGATAACATTGATTGTAAAAATCTGCCTGTAGAAAAGTTAGCTCCAGAACTCGTTGATTGTAGGCTCTCGGTATCGGTATGATGAAAGTGTTGATTGTGTTGAATAACATCATGTTCGAATGACTGTATTTGTGGTTGTGCTTGTGCGCCATGGCCTTCTTGATCTTGACATAAAGAAATCAGTTCAGACTCAATGCTTTCTTTAGTGATTTCATTAAAAAACTTAGTTTTATATTTTGGATCTAAATAAGTAGCGATTGTGTAGATCTTATTATTATGAAGTTCACCAAAGCGATTGGTAATTTCTTCTATCAATTTTTGAATAATATTCCCGCAAGTTTGGTCAGTAGTATTTATATTCTGTCTGAATAGATTCTGTAATGTGCAGGTCAAGACATGGATTAGAGGGATCACGGATGAAATACAGGCAGCGGAACTACACATGGTATTGGTGGCCTCTTCAAGTGGCTTAAGGATTGTTGCACAGCTCTCAAGTTGTAGCCAATCGTTTGGAGTAAACTGCGGCAAATTTGTATGTTGTGAGGTATAAAGTACTATGGCATCCTTTATTTCAATTAGACGTTGAATCATATTAAACATACTATTCCATCTTGTAGGACACTCTTGAATAACTGAAAGCAGAGGCAGACCCAGACGTTCTTGAAAACCTTTTAATTCCTCGCTTTTGTCAATTATTGAGTGGTTAAAATGTGTTGCGATTTGCTTACATTTTGCCAAAAAGGACGAAATATGTTCATCAATCGCCAAGGCCGCACGTATGCACAATTGCAATTGATGTATATTGCAATCAATGTCGTTAATCTGTGACACGCGGGCCGCTCTTTTCATGTTAGAACCACCATCGCGAACCATGATATGTATTTTTTGACGGGGAATCTCCCATTCCTCTCGTATTTCGTCCAACTTTTGTGCTATCACATCGCCCGTATGTCGTTCCTCGAGTGGGACACATTTAAGAAATAAAGATACTCTTTGAAAGTCATTGTTGATACCATGAATTGTAAAACTCAGCAACGAAACTCCTGCTCCTGGTTCAGTCCATATATCAGTGGTGAAATATAAGTATTGCACATCTTCAATTAAGTTTTTTACCTTGTTCTTTAATTTAGGATAAACATAATTACACAAATGAGATGTGTAACTTTGATGTCCTCTTAAATTATATTTTGGCTGAATAGCATGAATCAACCGTCTAAAGCCAATTCCTTCAACAAAATTAAATGGTAAATCTTGAAGAGCTAACATTTCGCAAATTAAATTATCCAGCTCGCAGTTTTTTTCGTGAGATGTATCCCAATACTGATGTCTTTGTAATGCCTTCTGTAAAGTTACTTGTCTCTTAGCCTGTTGAAGAGGAGTCTCTTCCGACAATTTGCGTTTATCAACCGCGGCTTAATTTAATGCTGTATCCTTTTGTTCATACTCGGCATATTCTACTTCATGGCGTGACTTGAGATGACTTCTTAACCCCGAAGTCCCGCGCCCTTTCCTTGAATATGTTCGGTCACATATTTTACATCTAACAGTATCAGCGTCCACTTCACTAAAATACGTCCATATAGCACTACATTTTGGCCTCATCTCATAAACTTTTACCTTAACAATAAACCTAATTATGACTTACGTAGTTCTAGTGACGTACGAGTGTACGACCACTTAAAAACAAAACAAATTTAAGACTGGCTAAGTGGCTACAGACTATAGTGGGATGGGTACGTACACTACAGTACTGCACACACACAGTGACACACACAATAGCGTGCTGTATTATATATTTCTAAAACACGTTCAATCCTGATCGTGAAAGTATCTAATGCAGCGAGCAAAAGACGGAGATTACTTTTATTTACATTGAATACGTCAACAACACTTCCTCATAAATTCCTCTTAATTAATGAGGATATGGAAGAGGAAGAGGAATATTTTATGCCTGATTTTGAGGATGTGGAAGAGGATGAGGAATCGCTAAAAATGAGGAACTTCCGCATTATGAGGATGAGGAAGAGGAATCCTCATCAACCCTACTTTATAGCACGCGAGTAACCCGATTACCCAAGTTTTATTTACCTCATGCTCGGCGTTGGAAAAGTGGAAGTTTAAGCACGTAATAGAGCAGCACGGTCATTAACCTCTCAGAAATGAGAGGGGTAACGTGCCCAGCTGTGGAACATGTATGAAATGTACCTTTACTTTTTATAAATCATTTACTTGCCCGCTCGCTATGTTGCCAAAATGTATGGTAAGTGACAAAAAGAGAGACCGATTCTTGAACCGAATTCTCAGGTCCTGAGATATAGGTTTCCATGGATCATCAAGGGGATTTGGTGTTCGTTTGTCACCGTCCTTTATACCAAGCCAATGCCTTAGTAAAGTATGAGTATAAAGGTGTGTTTTTTTTTAATAATGTAGGTATATATTTTATCAGTATCTCATAAAATTTATATCGTGTTCATTATGAAATTATCTTGAATCCACGAAGAATGATCTTGGTTCTTTCAAAAACTAATTTATTAAGTTTTTTATCTGTAGGGTATTTTTGTGCCAGAATTAAAAAAAAATTATTTATTATCTACGCTAAATTTTCTATCGAGACTATTTTATTCTTAAATGAATTTAAATATAAAATAATATATTATTGTAAAGTTACATCTGTATAAGTCCCACTGGACAGAGGTCTCTCATTTCTGATTGGATTATTTTAAATCTCAAACGTTTCAACGTACCCATGGTCTCCATATAAATTGATCCTGTAAAGGTCTTCAAAGGTCGTGTCGGGAATATACAAGGTTTTTTTTTCCAAGAGCAGCCAAATTTTTAATTTCAAATTTATAAATAATGATATGCCGTTATTGAAATTTTTGAAAATACGAATAAATAAGACTTTTATTTGACACTGTCCCAAATTGTATGTGATTTATGGGTAACAACATTTTAGCTACAGAAATCGTAATAATAAGACAATAGAAAATTATCTTAAATCGTAGACGCGTGGTGACCTTGTCGCGTTGTTGTTGTTGTTGTATGGGTTGACGAACATAATTCACCATTTTGGATATAATGGTGCACTGCAGCATAATCAGTTGTAAAAACTCATCAAGGACGTGTAATTAAACTAATAAAGGCATAACATTTCATCAGTAAGTTGATTATTTACTAATTATCATTGTTTTAATTAATTTACATCTAGATGAATACTTTACTATGACATTAACCCTTGCAAACTCATTTATTACTTTTCGTATTGTACAATTACCATTGTTGCTTTTGTTCTACCGTAATACGCGACGCACGCGACGTTGACATACTCGCCAAGCAATGTAATGTGACATTAGATATCATTGTGCATTGCGTATGTTTATAATACGGTAAGATGTGGCGACATCGGTTTTGGAAGTAATCGAGCGTTAGTTTATTTTCATTGTCTTATTTATACGATTTCTGTGGTTTTAGCCTACCGACCGACCCTTACGAATGTTTGCGTGCACAGTAAAATCAGTTAAAATAAGGCATTACCACGCATTTTGAATTTAAAACATAAAAAGTTTGAGATTTTTCTTAAATTTTCTTCACCATTTAGGCCTATTTTACTTATTCTGAACCTTCTCTGCAAATTAGGCCGGTTATTGCAAACTAACCCTGTATTTTAGAATTAAACGCTTTAAAATTAAAAAAAATGTTTTATTCAAAGTTTATTTTATCGATTTTATTAATTAATTTATTTAATATTAAATTTATCAATACTCACATTATTTTTCATTGCTCACATAAATGGAAGAAGACATTTACACAACTATAAAAGCACTTTATCACAGGCTATAATTTCTTAAGTCAACCTAAGTGAGTCTAGATATTAGAAAGCTATAATGCTTGTGGTATTTGCTATTACAATAATGATTTCTTGTGAATAATGCTGTCTCTAGACAGTTAATGACTCGGCTGTAATAATAAAAGTTCAAAAAAAAACAACACGCATTGATCATGAGCTCTGATGGTCCTAGAGATAATACCTACCATACCTACCATTATTATTATTATTTTATTGTCATCGGCTCTTAATGAGTCTGAAAATTTTCAGGTTATACCGAGGTCCTACGTGGTAGAGCCACGCTGCAGCTATATTATGGCCCTTACAGAATACCAGCGTAAAATAGCGGCTTAATACTGCTGTTTAGTATAGTGTGTGTAGAGATCCGGAGACCCGTACTTACTGGAAACGAGGCATTCCATCTTAATCCTCACGGGTGACAACGCATCTGCATGGTGATCTTAAACGAGGATAAATATAGATGTCTATGGGCCACAGCATCCACTTACCACTTACCCAGGTTCGTTCCCAAACGGCACCAATTGAATTGTTCATTGCAATTTTAAGTACTGATTTACTACGTGCCCGGCGTTAACGGGAATCAACGTGAGGAAACTTGCATGTCTAAGAAATAAGAAAACATTTTTTCGAAGACATATAAAGTTAACCAACACGCATTGGGGCAGCGCGACAAACATTTCCTTGCCCTATAAACCCTCTCAGAAATGAGAGAAAGTCTGTGCCCAGCTGTGGGACGTATATAGGCTGTAACTTTAAATTTTTAACTTTTTATCGCGTTTAATTTAACGTATTTTCTCCAACTTTTGAATATTAAAAAAGATAGTCCAGGCTAATCACGAGTTTTGGTCGTCAAACATCTCAGTCCCCCCTTTTAAAACACCCGAATTTTCGCGAATTAAAAATAAGTTTAATTAAACGCGATAAGATCTATAAAACATATTTTATTCAATGCTCATATAAATATATGGAATAATTTCATGAGAAATTATTTAATTAGTTACTTTTATTTTATTGGACAACTTATATGATCTTAAGTAAGACAGGTACAAAAACAAATCTGAAAAAAGAGGGATATACTTTTATAAGTAGTTTTTAAAAGAAACAATATACTGTATCCAGAGAACTTAGTATTATGCGTGTGTCCTTTGAGTATTCAACCAAAAAAATATTGGCTTAATACTCCAAATGTTCTTACTAACCAAATAGTAGTAAATAGCAGCTCAGGTTACTCTAAACACTGACGCTGGATCATCAAAACCTATGTGAATTGTAAACGTGTTTTCAAATAATCAGTTTTCAACTACAACCACCACCACCACCGCCTTGTAATCGCCGTTTTATAAAGTTTTCTTAATTTTCTGGTATTTTACCACGTCTTTCAACGCCTATTAATAACAGTGATCCAGTTTTTTTATATAAGATTTTAATATAGCTGTTGCAACAATGATTATATGGAAGAAACACCATTATATTATATTATTGTTGTTTAAAAAATATAAAAACGGGTTTGTACAAATTTGTTTCTGTATTTACGGACAGCTATATATTATCATCCTCATTACATCTCATCCCATGTCTACTACGGATCGTAGGCCTCAAGAAGTGATCAAGGATTCAAGGAATGCCACGTAACATGGTTCTGGGACAGATCGTCACTCCATCTAGTTCTAGATCGTCTCTCCATCTAGTAGACAACCATTCGAGAACCTTTCTTTTTTATAGAATAGGGGTGACAAACCAATGAGTTATACAACACTAAAGGAGCAAACCACATTACCGCGCGTCGAAAAAAGTGTAACCACTATCCAAACGCGACGACGTAGCTTTGAAACTAATAACAATTTTAAATAAACATATATCTATCTCACTTACACAAATTGCGAAAACAATATCATCGCTAAGATTAGATAAAGATAGACACACAAACATGCAAGGGTATAGGGTTGGTGTGGCTTACTATATGAAATTTTACCTAAAATACGCAATAAAAATGAGTTTTTTTAAGCTTCAGTTAATTGTTTTTATATTAAAAAATTATATTTTATTTTCAAATGTTTCCTGTGTCCCCTTAGAAAAAAATGATACAAAGCTTATCAGATGAATAGAAGTAAACATAATGATGAAATAAAACATATTTTTATAAGTATTTTTATTGTACTAATAAATAAAACAATATAAAATAGGTAATAAAATGTAATTAATATAAAATTTATATAAAATTACAATTAATATAAAATTATTAATATAAAATAAGTAGGTCTATAACAAAATATATTTAATAGATAATTCATGAATAAACTAAAATAAGAATAATTAATTATTTTGTATGAAAGTTAAAACGTAGTTTTTATTATAATTTCCAAAATACTTAAAATCAGAGGTAACAAATTAACTTACTCCATTAATTATATAGTCTCCC